TCGAATTCCAAATTTCAAGTTTTTAGCTCTATCAATTCACATGCTACGAAATTGTACAAAATTAAGTACATTTTAGTACTTTTCGGATATTTATAGTTCGAATTTCCAAAAACCCGTTGGTACATCTATCCTTCACTCAGCGACCACCAGTTAGTACTTTTCGTACCGTTCTAGTAGGAATTTCCAAAAACGCTTTTGTACATCATCCTAACTTTACATCAGTGACCCACATTAAAAATTTCAGAATTCTAGCTCTTCGCGTCTAGCTTCAGCCGTTTCGTCTGGGCGATGATCTGTCAGTCAGTCACTCACTTAACACTAAGCTCTTTTATATATATAGATAGTAGCTGCTTCCCCCTCTCTTTCATTCCCCGTATTCACATGTGCTATACCTATATTGCCTAAAATCGGTCATGTTGACCTCTTGTGAAATATTAAATAATCAAATTACGTTTATTATTGTATAAAGTAAATTTCTTATATGACTAGATCAGTACAACGACATTGAAAACCGTTTGCTACTCTAGAAACACAAACGAACACACAAATCGGGAAAAATAAATTTTATATTTCCAGTCGATTTCACTCTTAGAGTAAACACTTACTCTTTTTCGAACATTTTGTCCGCGCTCTTATTTTTCAAAAAGGGAAACTCGAGAGTCCTCCCATCGAAAACAAATAATAACAACGTTTTGTATGATTGCAAATACTGTAAAAATATAAAAAAAATAAGTTTAAAAAATTTTCTTTACACAATAAAAATTCTTTCAGAATGAAGTCATTTTGACCGATTTTAAACAATATAGGTATATACAAAATTCCAGTCTTTCTAGTGTTAAATTGTAAACAAATTTATGATCCAATTGGAAGAACCCAATCGATTAAATCGTCTTACTATGTAGTGTATAAACGGACAATGTCCTTCATACTATGGTAGAATACGGGTATATTTAGGTAACCCCAAAAAACCGGAAGAACCGGATGGGGACTACCCCTAAAAGGCGCGAATATTAATATTTTTTGGTAGGGAGATTTATTAACATATACGACTACAAAATGTCAAATTACAGCGAATTCGGTTGAAACCCGCGCTCAAGAACCCCAAAATAGCGTAAATTGGAGGGTACCCTTATATGGGGTTACCCGAAAAAATGGACCTATATATAATTTTTGGTGGAGAGATTTGACACCTATTACGAACTCAAAATTCAAAATTACAGCCAATTCGGTGAAAAAACCCCACAAAAACTGAAAATTGGGGGGTACCCTTATATGGGGGCTACCAGAAATGTGAACCTATATTTATAATTTTTAGTGGGGAAATTTCGTACCCGTTGTAAAACCCGACCAAGAACCCCAAAATACCGAAAGTTGGGGGGTACCCTTATATGGGAGCTATGCCTAAAAGTGGACCGATATAGCCCATCTTCGAACTTGACCTGCCTGCAGACAAAAGACGATTCTATGCAAAATTTTGGCGATCTATCTTAATTCGTTTAGAGGCTAGAGTGATTACAACAGACAGACGGGCATAATTAATGTAAACCTCCATGCCATGGTGGAGGGTATAAAACAGGATACATAACTTTGGAAAAGTCAAATAACTTATGAACAAAATGAGACATTGGTCATAGGAATCGATTAACCATTTGTTCCGTTTTTATAGAATCACCTAATTATTAAGATTTTCCTAATCTTATGTAAGAATTCATAAATACAGTGAAGTACGGATATAGCAAGCTAGTTGGGACCAATACAATTAGTTCGTATATCCAAGGTAAGGCAAAATATAGACTTAGCAGAAAAAATAGAAATATTGAAACTCATTGAAATATTCACCAGAAATATTAAAGTATTTTTTGTACATTCAGAACATTATTTTCTACATTATCCACATGTTAGGTGTACTGTAAGAATTGTTGCCAATTTTGATATATTTTATAGATTAAAGAAAAAATCAGTAAATGATTTGGCCGTTGCTTCATTTACTTATTCTTGATCAGAATAAAATTTTATGTCGATTTATGCGTGTCAGTGTGTGTTGATCGCAATATTTAAGACTGAGCTCTGAAATTTTCCACAGACAGTTCTCCTAGGATTGCATTGAAAATGAAATATATCGGTCCACGTTGTAGCCCCCATTTTCAATTTGTACTTCGGCCGGACCGAACTTAACATCGTTTTAACTTTTTTTTTAAGTTTCCAAGCGTTATTGTAAAACATTATTTTTGTGAGGTTCGTTATTGACAAAAAAAAAAAAATTATATGAAAACTGGAAGGTTGAACCCAATAAATAGTTATAAAAAAGCTAGCTATAAGAGTAAACATTTGTATGAAAAATATATGTTACAACTTCGAAATCAAGAAATGTGCTCGTCATCAAACTCTTTTCATTAGCGTTTAATGGAACCTACTAAAGACTTGGCTTTAATAACACATGAATCGATATGTAGATGAGACCTTATTTTAGGATCTCGAATTGAAGATGGTTACGGTCAATTCTGAATGAAATTTGGAAGACAAATCATTGTGAAGTTTGTGGATTAAGCAAAATAAAAATGAGTACAGTAGATATCGGATATAAGCACATCTCATATAAGAAAAAATCGCATATAAGAAAGATTATCAAAAACACCGAGCCATCAGTATAAAAATTGCTTCATATAAGAAAAACGCGTATAAGAAAAACACTGATATAAGAAATGTTTGTCAAACACCAAATCTGACAAAGGTATTGCAAAACGTTTCATATTAGAAACTATGTAAGATTGTTGGCCAATTTATTAACATTCAAAAGGTTAAAAAAATAAAATAATTTTTAATTGTATTTGAAAGAATATTATTTATATGAATAGAAACATATGCACCTATTTTTAGGCAAACTGTGAACTGATTTTAATTTAGTAATTTTGTACATTTATATGCGTATGTACGCATATAAGAAACAACTTTCTTATATCCGATAATTCCATATAGGAAAAAAGCGCATATTAGAAAGAAATCGCCTGCCTTTTCTGAGTTTCTTATATCCGATATCTACTGTAGTTTAAAAATTAATGAGTGGTCAACGGTGTTCGATGTCAGAAAATGCTGTTGAATCATCTGATTGAAAAACAATAGAATAATTTTCGATTATTAATATTTACATATTCATTATTAGGTCGTGATAAATATTTACAGTTTTACCATGTCCCTCGTATGGGGTATTAATATCAAGGGTAAATAATAATTTATTTTCCGAATCGATTGCAAAGTCTTTTTAAAAAATTCTGTTTTCCAAACACTGTGCCACAAATTGTTTTAATGAAATGCTAAAATATGAAATCAGAAATAAGTGTTTGTAGCTCAACTGACACAGCTACGTCCAAATAATTAATTGGACATAAAACATGATTTATTAGTTTAAATGTTTGCCAGAAGTTCTGAAGTAGATTGCCATAACACGAAAGCCAATACATTCGCATGTTAGCGTTCTCATATAGTATTCCCTTTTTAGCTAACAACTTGCCATGGAATTGATGGTTCGCTACACATTGTCCGAGTAGTAGGACAAAATTAGCAGCAAACACAAAAATTACAACTGAACATGACTTTAATTAGATGGCCCTTGAAGAATTAATTCAATGTTTCGGAAACCAATATCAATAAATGCATTTTGTTTTAATAAAGTTATAATTTTTTTATGTATTTTGTGTCAGGAATTTAATTATTCTCTAAAAATGTCCTACAAGTATGTTATAACAATAGACAGATGATCTTTCCTATATTCGAGATAAAAGTGTATGTGCATATCTATCGTAAGTATTGTGAATCTCTATGGGAATTTCAATAGGCACGCAAGACATAATTTTATATTCTCACAAAGAAAATCTTCGTAAATTTTGAGGAGCATCAACCAAATATTGTATGACGAACAGATTCTTAGTCTACATTTTTTTCTAAACCTATGCACCAAAGATCATGATCATCAACTATTTTGTGTTGCAGATCGAATCACTTCTCAAATCCCGATTCCTCAGTCGGTTTCTTTAGATTTGTTGTAGTTAAAAAAGAAAACAAAATATGACTTTTCTATATCAGCTGTCAACCGTAATATGCCTAGGACCAAACATCCAATTAACTTTGCTAGTCTCCAGTCACTCTACGTAACCAGCATAGTTGCCCGACTACTCCATTGTCCAGGTCATTGTTGTCAGGAAAACCCAATTGGAAATTGAATTTATTTATCTTTCGTCTCATTTCGACAGTAAAACTTCTTTTGAACACATTTCCTGGTATTTATCGCAATAACATTGAATGCCTTTGTGTCTGTCAATGTCAAATTTCCATGGAAACCTTTAAGAATTGTCTTGGTTTTTTTGTGTATTCTGTTTTCCTTGGGAATTCGAAATTCCAATTGCAAGGAACATCAATGTTCGCATAGAGGTAGGTGGTAAGTCAATGAAATCTGGAGATGCAAACAAACAGAAAACTAAACAAATTTATTAATTTTCGGAATGCATTATACAAAAGAAAACGGAGAGCAAGCGCAAAAAAAGATGAAGAGGAAGAAGTAGAGAAAAGCCAACGCAAAATATTTCAAAGATAAAGGCAAACAAAAATGTCCCAAAAAAAGAAAGAAGCTATGCTACCATCTTTGTAGGGAACTATTGAAAATAACTTCAACAATTTTTGTTGTTGTTGGTGTTGTTGTTAAAAATATTGTTTGTTTTCCAATATCCTACAAAGGCTACTGACTATTGGGGCGGTTTTGGAATGTGGGGAGGAGGAGGAGGAACGAGGAGGGGGAATTTCTTTAACTTTATTTATGAACATTTTAAAGTAAGAAAACAAAATCGAACAGAAACGAATAATAATAAAAATAACAACAATTTGTAGTAAATTTGTAGGAAAGTTTTTAATTTAAGTCTTTATCAATGGAATCGTGGCAGTGGATCGATGGGCGGTATGGACTATGGTAATACCAATAAAAAAGCAACATCTCTACATCTACTACTTACGTATTTCCATTTGTTCCAGCTCCAGTTGGCGTATAACAGCGGCGTGACTTTGCTCCAGAGATGCCCGTTCCTCCTCGTCAATCATTTCAATACAGCTGGCAGTTGATGCTCGAGATTTTGCCACACTTGCAACACCAAATTGCGGTGGGGCTGTGGCGGACGATGGCGTGGTTGGTGTTGTTGGTTCCTTTGATGCTTTCTTCTGACCCAGAAGACCAAAAACTTTTACTCGACTGCCGCGGCGACTTTTCATAGAGGCTCTCAACGATGACGAAGAAAAGGCACCCCCACCTCCTTCAACGCCACCACTAGCATCCCCAGCTGGAGCATCTGCGGCCGTAGCCGTCGTCTTCATCTGACTATTGCCCATTGTAATGGTGTTGGTGGTGGCACTGGCAGTGGTAGTGTGGTTGCCAATCAATGCAGTACTTGAAGATTTTGCTGTTGATGTTGTTGTAGTTACTGAACAAGACTGAACGGTTGATTGAATTCCACGGAAGAGATGATGATAGAGGGTCGAAACATAAAACGAGAGAGAGAGAAAGAAAAAAACAAAATCATGGAGAACTTTGTTATTAGCCTAACCACAGCACCAGAATTGAATTGACTGGAAACAAAAATTGTTAGGACATGACAGAACATAGACACATTGTTCGACGAATGGGAGTCGATGTTTGCACAAAGCCCCCATCCGGCACAAAAAATGCAAAGAAAAAATGAAACAAATAAAATCAAAAATCAATTATAACTTTTCAATCAGATTATGAAAATGTTGTTCGTTTTATCTTTTGTCGATTTTTTTTGGCTGTGCTTTGTGTAATCACCAATGTGGAAGAAGTAACGCCATAGAGTCATTTGTTAAAATGGAAAATTACTTTGGTCTATTATTAAAAATAAAAATAAATTTTTTGTTGTTGGACTACAAAAATACATATATTTGTTGGTGGAAAACCACATTAAAATAGATCTACAATACATTAAAACATTTACACCTAAGTCTGTTTTTACACGGTAGATTGGTTTCAGAAGAAGCCGTGTAAAAAAAACGTGTAAAAAAGACATTGATCTTATACATAAAGGGAATTCCCCTAAATTAGTGCTATTCACATTTGCTTTGACCAGTAAAAATTGTTTGTACGCGCTAAAGGGGAATTCACTTAAATCTTTAGGCTAGTGTTCGCAAACTATCATATATTCATAAATACTTTTTTGTGATATAAACATACTTCGCAAAAATTAAATTTGACAAAAAAAAAAAAATTAAGTACATAAAATTTCAAATCGTGCTAAATGGGATAAAATCGTCCAAAAAAATTAAAAATATTCAATATTCAAACCGTGTTATATCAAAACCGTGTACAAAAAGACCGTGTAAAAACAGACTTAGGTGTATACTGAAAATGGTAAATAAGGAAGTTATTTAATATCTGTCGAATTAGAAATGTTCACCGCCCGATATGAATATTACAAGGTTCGAAAACTGATCGACAATAAATTCATTTTCGAACCTTGTAATATTCATATCGATCCTTATTCGAGTTTAACGATGCAGACGTACTGTTCACCTTATCTACATTTCCTCAAAAATTGTGAATTATTTGGAAACTTGTACATTTGATAAAATATTCCATTTGAATTGGTACAGGGTATTATGTCTTTGTGCATACGTTTGTAACAGGCAAAAGGAAACAAGATAGACACATGGTTCCTTTTGAGAATAAGCATAGAATCACTTTTTAGTCGATTTATGCATGTCCGTCCGTCAGTCTGTCCATGTTAAATTGTAAACAAACCACAGGTCGCATTTTTGATTCTAATTGGATAAAATTTGGCTCAGCTCATTCATTTGGCCCACGGACGAACCCTATTGAAATTGGGAAAAATCGGTTCAGATTTAGATTTAGCTCCCATATATATTTTCGTCCGATTTAAGGTAAATGGTACACCAAAGTACCTATATATCCTTCGATTTGCACGAAATTTGGCATAGCGTACTGAATGAAGTCAAGAGTGATGTGTGTTGAGTTTCGGGAAAATCGGTTCAGATTTCGATATAGCTCCCACATATACATATATGTTCGTCCGATTTTACATAAATGGTGCACCAAACTCCTAATGTTGTCCGATTAATATGAAATTTTGCACAACGTATCACATTGAGACTTGAATGATGTTATTGCATAGCTTCCATATGTATTTCGAACGGGTGTCTGATTGATACGCAAAGTAATGAAGGGTATCATATAGTCATATCATACAAGTGAAAACCCATAATGAAAGTAGGAAAGTCGAACTGGTACCCTTCAACACTTAAGGTACATTCTACATATTGTCATCATAAATGCAAACGGACGTAACTACAGAAAAATTCGAAATTGACTTTTTGTTTGATTATTTTAATCAAACTACATGTTCACACAACAATTTAGACATCTAACGTAACAGCGATCTAATTAACCCTACGGTCAATAACCAAAAAGTATACGTAGATCAATAACCGTGGTACATTTGTACCCATCCAAAGATAGCTCTGTAACTCATTAAAAATTGGACTATCGTGAGGTTTTTTGTTTTAAATTAGTCTATACGGATCTGATGTAGATGTAGGAACTCAAAATTATATATACATTAAAATAATATATATTTAAATCCATGCTTAAATGATGATCTATCTAAAACAATCATAGTAAATTCATTATAGCTTTCGAATGGGTTAAGCTTTTTGAGTTATTTTTTTATTGGAATCTTATTTGGGTGATCCTCAACCCCTCTGCAATTTTTTGTGGCCCTAGACAACATGGGGCCATCAGGGCGTCTCGTGGAAATCAGAAACTACCTTGGTTTTTCTTTGGTATTTGATCCAAATATCTCCATTATTAAAAATTTTACAGCTTTTTTATTCAAAAAAAGGTACAAATGTACCCGGTTATTGACCGTAGGGTTAAAGAAATTCAAACGGGCGTAACTACAATACTATTTTTATTAATACTATTTTTATTACCTATTATTCGACGGGGCGTACACAAATATTCAACTTCCCCATTATGGCAAAATGTTGTGTACGGCCGTATTACCCAAATACGTCGGATCCCTATCTTCAAGAGAATAATACAAACCGCAAAACAAAAATGAAAATTTATTAAAATTATCCAATTATTTCGGTAGCATTCATATAAATACATATGTTCTACCTTTGTGTCGAAAATCGCCGAACGATCTAGTTGAATTTTAGGTAGCGCTGTAAAGCTCGCAATATTGGGATGTTTGGTGTTCTTCATTTTTTCTAATTTAGTGCACAATATACATACTAGCTATACTTAAATCTGATTATCTGTGAACAAAGCATGATTCTAGGATCAATTAGATAAGTGGATAAGAAATTGATGGAACTTTTAGATACAAATGACGCAATATATATACAGTCGAATTCGGATAAGCAAACGCCGGTTTATCGAAAAATCGGTTAATTGAAACTAAAAATTGTAAACTAACATTTCCGATGAATTTTCAAACACTTTACTTCGCTTAAGGGAACCCCCCCCCATTCTTAATTTTTTATTTTTAAGACTTTAAATAGGCTGGTAAATGAATACCAATGCTTGTTAAGGTTTGTAACTTTGCACATATATATTTGAAGATTTAAAAAGGAAGAAAAATAATTTACAAAAAATTTTTGTTGTTGTTTTTTGTGATCAAAGAAAATTCCTTATTTTTAATGGAAAATCGCCAATTTTTTACCAAAAACTAAGTTAAAAAATAAGGAAGATCTTCACCGATTGGCTTTATCCTAGTTCATACGAGAGCTATACACTCCCAAAGAAACGTGTCAAAATTTGGAATCGATTGGGTTATTAGATTTTGAGTTATCGTGCCGCCATTCGCAAAAGAGAAAAACGCGTTTAAAGTTTGAGAAGCCCTTTAGCCGTCACTTGATGTTGCACAATAAATCGGCTATATCGTCAAGAGTTCTTGAGATTTCTTGAGAAAATTGTTGACCCCGAGAAGAAGCAAACGCCGGTTTATCGAAAAAATCGGTTAATTGAAACTAAAAATTGTAAACTAATATTTCGGATGAATTTTCAAACACTTTACTTCGCTTAAAAGAAAAACCTGGTTTAGAGAAATAATTTATTTGTTAAAAAAAAAACACAAATATATATGACACAAGCACGGTTTAAGAGAAAAAATATAATTTTTGTAAGCACAATTCATTTTATAATATGATTTATAAAATGAATTGAATAAGAACTTATTTTTTCGTAGACATTGGATGTCAATATAATGCAATATAATTTTAGGGCTGCACATAAAAATGTTAATGAGTTTCGTCGCCCTTTCAAAAATTATATTTTCTCTTAAACGGTGCTCGTGTCATATATATTTGTGTTTTTTTTTTCAACAAATAAATTCTTTCTCTAAACCAGGTTTTTCTTCTAAGCGAAGTAAAGTGTTTGAAAATTCATCCGAAATATTAGTTGACAATTTTTAGTTTCAATTAACCGATTTTTTCGATAAACCTTTGCTTATCCGAATTCGACTGTATATATAGTTCAATACTCATCATTCTATACGCCATGCAAAGTTCTATCGCTATCGGAAAAATATTTTATGTCTTTAGTACAGCATTCACATAAAATCGGTCGAAAATATTTGTGGGAGCTATATCGAAATCTGAACCGATTTTCAAGAAACTTAGCAAACAATCTTCTGGACTTAATCCAGTACGCTATACCAAACTTCATGCAGATCAAAATCAATCTAGGGACTTTAATGCACCATTTACATAAAATCGGACAAAAATATGTGTGGGGGTTATGTTTACATATTAACCGATTTTCTGGAAACTTAACAAACATCACTCTAGACTCAATCCAGTACGCCATGCAAAAATTTCGTGCAAATCGTCTTGAGCATCAAAAATGTTAATGAGCCAGAATCTTTACTGGTGAACATAGGCGTTTATCTCTGTTCATTCTGTTGTGACTGCTACATTTTTTTGATGAAATATATTCCCTACTACTCAAACAATCGACTTGATATAATAAATTCTATATTTATCGATTTTTTCTCACATACTTGTTCTGTTCCCGTACTGCAAGAATCTACTACTTTTTACTACGATAACGAATTTGCCTTTATGATATCGAAGAAAATAGTAAAATATAGTTAATTCTTGCAGTACTGGAACAGACCAACTGTAAAAATATTTCGGCCTTCTTCAATAAAGAGTTTCGATATCGAATCGTTCCTTTAGGTTAATTCCCTTCTTATGAGTTTTTATTTCAAATAATTATTTATTTTACGAATTATTTACTTTTTTACTAATTCTAGCAGTACAGTACATCTGAGTGTTCTGAATTAAAAAAAAAAAAATAAAAATACTTCCAACGAATCGAGTGCTAATCAAAAATTTTTTACCACAGTTAATGTTTTAATTACGTGACCACCACTGTATATAAGAGCTATATGTAA